ATAAAAATATAAAAAAATAAAAGTATATTTTTAAAATTATTTTTTTAAAATGTTCCAGAATTATCTGAGCCAGCCTTGGTGGGAACTTTTACTACAGAGAGCAGAATTTGACATCTTATAGAACTCTTGCTTATCCCAGTAAATGAAGTAACATTAAAGTATATAATCTGATAATTTTATTTCGAAGATTTGTTAATTATATTCTTAAAATAGTATAACAAAAGCAAGCATCTATAAAGCACTTACCGAATGCCACACATTGTTTTTAATCTTCACAAATAACTTTATAGAAACTCGAATGGGCTACCTCCAGCACACCCCACACTGGGGATTGAGCCCTCAACCTGGGCATGTGCCCTGACTGGGAATCAAACTGTGACCTTTTGGTTCATATGTCCACACTCAACCACCTGGCTGCTGGCCAGGCTAGCCCTGTGCATATTTTAAGTTGTTTCTATGAAAAATGAATTGTGGTGAGGAAAAAATGGTCTCCGGTGGCCCAGTTCTTATGAGATGATGAGAGCCTGGCTTTGGGCAGACATTGGGAACAAAAGGGCAGTGAACAATGGAAACATTCAAAACATGAAACTGGGCAGGCGGATAATTGTGTGTGAGGATGAGGGATAAAAAGCATTCTTAGATGACTGTTTTCTAAAAAATCCTATCTAATAAAAGGCTAATATGCAAATCAACCACTATGACATGCACTGACCACCAGGGGGCAGTCGCCCAACACAGGAGCTGCCCGCTGGTGGTCAGTGTGCTCCCACAGGGGAAGTGCCGCCCAGCCAGAAGCTGGGCCCATGGCTGGCAAGCACAGTGGTGGTGGCGGGAGCCTCCCTGAGGGCTCCCAGACTGCAAGAGGATGCAGGCCGGGCTGTGGGCCTTCCCCCCCTCCCCCTGCCCAGTGCATGAATTTCGTGCACCGAGCCTCTAGTGAGTTCCTATGAGACTTGCTAAGTTTGAATTTATTAGGACTGTTGGACTATATTCCTTGATTTAGTAAATAACTTTTTAAATTTAGATTTCGAATGTTTAACTACTAAAGATTTAACTTTTTAAAATTTCAACTCTTAGGAAGATGATGCTGTGGGACAGCAGAGAGTGAAAAGAATGAGGACTGGAAAAACAAAACAAGCAAGCAGGTACGGCCTCTCCTCTGCTGTGGTTTCATGTTCTGTTCCTTAATGTGGGATGTGAGGAGAGTCGGTTTAAACTAGGAAGTCACGCTCATTAGACAGGGTCATTCTTCCGGTCGTTCACAAGCACTGGCTCCTTGCAGCTGTTTGACTTCACGGTGGTTTTCTTAATCATGTGAAAGCCACTCATCCTCCTTAAAGAAGCAGCTTAATACCAGTGAGTCTTTGATTTTGCATGGGAGTGAGGTGTTTTACATTTTCTTCAGTAAAATAGATGGCTATTAGTAAAAAATAAAGATCCTGTGATTATTTCACTAATAGCTATATCGCTGCCCATGGGAACTTGCTCCATTTCAGATCCATTTGTTACGTGGTATTTGATTTAGGCTGTGCTTTGACATCATTGAATTCTAGAAAAGTAAAGTAACCCATTTTATCTTACTTTAAAAATGAATTTAATGAGTCTTTTGACTATAATAACAACTCTATTTACACATAAATTGGCTTTGTGTGTATGTGGAAAACTACTTCATACTGTTATGAAACATCTACGTAATTGCTCATTGCTGCTGTTTGAGAATCGCTTTCTTCAGGGGCCTGCGGGGCGTTCATTCCATGGACTGACTGCTGGGACTGGGTCAGTCTCTATAACCCAGCAGTGTTTATTGGGACAGATGCAACATTAAAGAACATGCAGTGGTGATGCTTTTGAATAGTCAGATTAAAAAGAGAAATTTCTGTCATGTGACACTTTAACTCTGCCTCTGATTAGCTTATACGAGTTAAAGCTTCACTTCGCTTCTCTTATGAAATGAAAGCACCAAGAAGAGGTCATCCCTAAGGTTTCTTCTCATGTACTGAGAAGCCAGTTGTGGTTTATATTATGGTGTGTTTCTTCTTACTGGAATGATATCTCTTTTTCAGAACCACAGAGAAAGACAGTTGGTCACCTCCTCCAGTAGAGATTAAGCTCATTTCTCCCTTGGCAACCCCGGCTGAGAGAGTGAGGAGCAAGCCCAGGAGAACCACCGAGGAGACGGGGAAAGCTCTGGGGAGGAACAGGAAGAGACCGTCCTCCTTCCCAAAACAAATTGTCCGCAGGAAAATGCTGTAACTGTTTTCAAGTTTCATTGTACACCTGTTTGTAAAGTCACCAGAATTATGTGGATTATTAAAAATCACCTAATTTGGAAGACATAATTTATATAAATTGTAAATTTTTGTAAACAGAAGGTCTTCCATAAGTAAAATCACTCCACATGGAGTATGATTCTTTTAGTGGAGGCATTTTATCCCTATTTTATATGAAGACTTCAGGCATTTATATAATATGTAAATATGGCTTATATTAGAATGTTAAATAAAGTACACACTTCATAGGAGTTTGTGTCGGTTAGATTTTTGAGAGGAATTTGTTTTAGTGATGATTTTATACGCTAGCAGGCATTGGGCCCATTGTCTTTCTCTACAGTTAAAAGTATTAAACCAATCATAAAATGAGGACAACTGAACTGCTAAGTTTTTTAAGTTGCTGTTTTATAATTTATGCACTTTTGCTTCTGTGATTAAGATTTCTAATAAAATATTTGGGGGGGTGTGGTTGCTATGTTCAAGTTGAATTATGGGCATGTAATTTTGCCACTTTTTTGTAGTTTAACAAATTTTATGTATTCTACCTCAGATGAGTAACTTTCTAAGTAATGCATTGGTTAAATGTAATGTTGGTATTTCTTGTTC